TTCGCTGGGGGACTCCGGTTCCCCCATTGGACATTTTTGCAGGCACATCAGTAAGCTCAGTGACCGGTGACAGGTGAAGGAAGCGTGGGTATGCCCGACTCGATCTCCCTTGGATCAACAACATCATCAAAACTAATCCCATGAATTGATTGACATTCTTAATTTGAGTTTGACTTAATGCTTTACATGCACTCTACAAAAATGAAAATTCTAATAGCAGATAGAAATTACTACGTGTAATTACACAGTTTTTTTTTAAGATTCATAAATGAAGTACATGGACGATTGTACTAATGGAATGAGAATATATAAAAATAAAAAGGTTCCTATAAAAGTGCATTGAAGTACAGTTGGCAAACAAAAATGAATTATTAAACTACCATTCTTGGCTTGGAGATTAGTATTCATATCTCCAACATAAATTTGTGTACTTTCAATAAGGTTGGTTTGGTGGATTTTCTAGAATCTACATCCCATTCCTTTTATGAAACTTTATTGATAATGTCTCTCTCTCTCTCTCTCTTAAGTTTTGAGTAGAGATGATTTTTTTTTATTTATTATTATTTATAATCAAACAACTCACTTTGATGAATTGAAAAAATTTCGATTTGTCACCAATCCATCGATCTTCAAAAGTTGATGGGTGGGTTGAATCTTTTGACATAGTTAAATTGATGATTTGAACGAGTTAGACAGGTCAGAAACACAAAATGAAAAAAAAAAAGAAAAAAAAAAGGTAAATTATATTAAACCTTCTCAAACTATTGATAATTTACACTCTATCCCCTAATATTTTAAACCTAACAATTACTCCTCTCAAACTATTTGAATTTGAACACATCTGTTAGATATTTAGATGAAAAATTATCAAGTGTTGTGCATATGATGATTATATTAAATTTTATGACCAAATTATCCTATCTTATCTTTTGTAAAAATTTAATGTAATCATCATTTGTACAACATTTGACAAATTTTCATCCAAATATCTAACAAATGACTCACATAAGGACTTAATGTTCAAATTCAAATAATTTGACGGGGATAATTGTTGAGTTTAAAACATTAGGGAATAAAGTGTAAATGGTTGATAATCTGAGGGGGTTTAATATAATTTATCCCAAAAAAAAAATGTCAATGACCATACAATCTCAATTTTTATTTTTTTTTTGTAATTTTATAATTTTAAACAAAAAAAAATATTTATTTATTCAAAATTCAATACAAAATTTACAAATTAATCTAATGCATGATGTTATTCAAATTCATATTTCATAAATTAATATACAAAAAATCAAATTTTAAAAAATGTGATATAAACGAAGGTAGATATCATCTGATTAATGGTATTAGGGTTAAGAAAAAAAGAAATTTATGTATGAGTTGACAAATTTTAACCAGCAAGCTAATCAATTTGTCAATTTTTATTACCCAGCACAATCCACTTACGTACTCAAACTGCACAAAGTGGTTTAGATTGATACAAATTAATTATTTTTTTATTTTTTATGTTTTGATGACTAAGGCCAAGTTTGGCATACCTTAAATAATCCATCTTTTTATCTTTTTTCTATCACATAACTTCTCTACTTTTCTGCACATCTTTTCGTAAAAAGACAAAAAGTGCACTTATTTAGGTCATCCTAAACAAGCCCTAAGTATCAATTACACCTAAGAAACACCAACAAAAAATGGAATCCGGATCCTCGGCCGCCCTACCCGGCAGCCCTACCCGGCAGCCCCCCAAAACGACGTCGTTTTGGGGTTTTTTTTTTTTTTTTTTTTTGTCACGGACTTAGACTTCGCAAGCCTACCGTGCGGCCTTAGATGCCTCTCAACCCTCTTGGTTGCACGTAAGTCAGCCTTCTCCACTCAACCACACTAACACACACAGTTTAGTTGGAAGAATGCCTTCACTATACAAGTTAACATTTACAAGTATAGTCGTGTACAAAGCTTACAAGGCTCTCACACTCACACTCACCAGTGCCTCACTCTAAGAGCTCTCTTGGATCTCCTGGCCTTCGATGCCTTACAAATGAGACCCCTCACCCTTTTATAGCCATCCTCCTCTCCATTGGACGGCCCAGATCATTTTGATCCAAGGGCTACAAGCACTCATCTAGAACATTCCATAGAACTATCTAGGACATCTACCCTATCTACTACATTCTAGAATTCTCTACACTAGTGTAGTACATGGTAGGCTTCTCCTAGCATAATCTAGGATGTTCCAGACCCATCCAGGCTTCTCTGGACACTTCAAGGTTCTTCCACTTTCTGGAATCTTCCAGGCCACTCTAGACCCTTCCACCACGTTCTAGAGCCTTCCAGCATACTCTAGCCCGTTCTGGCTCCTTCCGGATCCTTCCAACACATTTGGCCACTTCAAATGCTGCTCCTCGTGTCACAGAAATTATCGGGGCGTGACACTAGGATGCCCAAGGAAGATAAACCTGTTTGGGGGCTCACTAAATCTGGGGAATATATAGTTAAATCCGGTTATGGAATTGGATTTGGAAAATCAAAAAGTTGCTCTCAAATGGTCAATGTTTTTATGGAAATGCCTACACAATATTCTCCCAGTGAGGACTGTTTTGAAAGTTGGTAAAATCCTTATGGATGCAATCTGTCCAACAAGTTTTTTTCTCAATTAAAGGGTGTGGAGGAGCAGCCCGCTCCGCCTGGATTTCATGAGTGGCAACCCTATTTATTCCTTTCACAGTTTGGATTGATCAATGGAGGCGACAAGTGAAGGATGAGGAAGAGATTCTTAGACAGCTTACTTTGGACAATTTGGAAACAACGAAATAGTGCGGTCTATCAGTAGGACAATGGTTAACTAAGCATATGATCTGACTCGTCGTGTAAACGATTTTTCAACTTAACAGATTTCTCGTGCTTGGTTATTTCTCAAAAGTATTAGTCATGGAAAGCAACTTCTTTCTTTTCGTTTCTTTTTTTTTATGATCAGGTATCCCGGCCATCTTATGCGCACTTCAACTAATCTTGGGATACATAAAAAACCGTCTCTCCATGTGGAGAGCAACTTTTTGTCACAAATTTTATCACAACCGAGAGCTTTATGCATTTTTTTAGAAAGAGAAAAAGAACTTAATTATAAAAGCCAAAAATAAAAAATAAAAAAGATTACACCATTGAAGAGAACATTAAAAAAAATATATATATAAATATAAATGAGAAATGTTACTATATACACATCATAAGAAAATTAAAATTTTTTATAGTGTTGGTTATGAATCATTATGAAGTATAATTATAAAGCATACACTATAAGAAAAATCTTAATTATCACTTTTTATAAGTATGTTAAGAATATTATAACTTTGTTATGTCCAAATTTAAGAGCCTCTCTACTAAAAACAATGATTGGTAGCTCAAATTTTCATGGCCTGAATGGTTCGAAATGACGTCATTTTGGGGATAAAACGACGTCGTTTTGATACATTTGAGTCATTCAAGTCATACAAATTCAATCTAGTAAGCATTTTTCAAAAAGAATAGTTCTCCAAACCGTAGAACTTGATGAAGCCAGTGGGATAGTTTAATTAAAAAATTTTAAAAAATAAAATAAAAAATTCCTCCAACTTTGTTTACAATGCCATTTTCAAAAGAAGAAATAAGAAAGCCAATCATTGATATAATCTGAATTGCTAATACTTTCGAAATAATTTTTTAAACAACCCTACAAAATGGGTCGATACTGCCCCACAATTTCAGGGTTAAAAATCCATTTTCTTCAAGTCACAGAGAGTTTATCCTATGCAGCTAATTTCAGACGTATCAATTTATATCACAATCTTTGTTTTTTAATTAGACAAAATCAAAAAAAAACTCCCCCCCCCCCCCCCCCCCAAAAAAAAAAAAAAAAAAAAAAAAAAAACTAGGTAATTATGAGTATTGGATTCCTGATGCTATTTGTAAAATTTGATGTTGAATATCCTATACAGAGCGAATATCAAATTGTTCTTGTTTCCATTGGCAAATTACAGTGACCAATTGTAATTTTTCCAGACCTCATGGAATATTTGTTTTTATTTCTTTTTTGTCTAATATAGTTTAATGAATCACAAATTAGAGTGAAAAATATAAATATAGCCCACATTACTCCTTAGGATAATATCCTTCTATAGTAATCCTTTGGTTACCTGGTGGCCAGTTATCAATTTTGAAAGGCTAAAATGCACTCAAAACAAACCTATCTTTCATATTGGTCAAGACTCTAGTTTATGTTCCCTTTCTCTATGTATGGTATTACCTCTTGCTGCTTCATTCAATTTGATTAGCTAATAAGTTCCCGATTCGACTTTGATCATTATGGACGAGTGTCAAGATCAAGTCCTAGACAAGCAGACCTAAATTTAACAGCTGGAATAGTAACAATAAAAATGAACCAAAATACCTTATTGCTATGGGAGCATGTACAGTTACCCAATTCTTATAGTACTGTTTGGATAGTTGATAAGTAACCTTAATATTGGGAATATATAGTGAAAAGAATATCATTGAGACTGATACTACCCGAGGGAACTTATTAGCTAACTGGTGATGATAAGTAACCAGTTAGGGGCACCCAATGTAAAATCTTGTTTCCGTCCCTGCACATCCCCTAACTAGTGCCTGGTTCTCAACTTTCAAAGGTTAGTTCAAAACAAACCTAATGTATACCCTAAATATTGGGGATATGTTATGAAAATGACATAGACAATAATACTCCCTAAGGAAAAACCAGTGGCCCTTGGTCCACACACAATTACCACAAGCCCCTCCCGCATTTAAAGTTTTTACCATCATCCGGTAAAAAATAAAATAAAATAAAAAACTTCGACTTCCAACTATACTAAAACAATCAGTAGCAATAGATCCAATGCATTCTACACTACTCCAGTGAAAAAAAATGTTGTCCAAGTTACAAATCATTCACTTGCAACAACGGCAATAATTTACACAAGGCAAACTAATTTCAGATTCTCTACTAATATTCAGATAAGGTCCATTTCATTGATTTCTAATATGGAAGGCATGTGCATTATCTCTGCAATATGTACAGAGGTTTCAGATTCTCTATAGTCAGACAACAATATGATGATATTACAATACAAAACTCCTAATCATTATCAAGTTCACATCATTCAATAATTTGGCAACAAGAAGAAAACAAATAAAATGATTGCATTCACTAAGAAACATAAACTTAAAAACTATAGGCAAGAGGCAACCATACTGGTGATCAGCAAATAAAAAAGTGGCAGCCACAATGAGCTACAAGAGGACCTATTCAACTTTGAGAGGACCCGTATTCACTGGCTTCTGGAATACTCTTACTACTGGCATTCCATCACCATCCTCACCCCCGACCCTCCATGACCGGTCTTTTTTCCTCTGAGGCTTCCTGTGCTGTTTATGAGATGCATTTTCACGCTTTTTCTTAGCAGGGACCTTCCCAGAACCTAATCCATTAGCCATGTCAAATGAATTCAAATCATTCAATACATGCTCTAAATTGGGCGTGCTTTCTTCATCTTCACTGCTTGGAGGGTTTTCAGTATCAGATGAATCTGATTCATGCATCTCAGATGAGCTTGCATTTCAATGATTTTTGATATGGAAGGCATATGCATTATCTCTGCGATATGTACAGAGGTTTCAGATTCTACGATATTACAATACAAAACTCCTAATCATTATCAAGTTCACATCATTCAATAATTTGGCAACAAGAAGAAAACAAATAAAATGATTGCATTCACTAAAAAACATAAACTTAAAAACTATAGGTAAGAGGCAACCATACTGGTGATCAGCAAATAAAAAGTGGCAGCCACAATGAGCTACAAGAGGACCTATCCAACTTTGAGAGGACCCGTATTCGCTGGCTTCTGGAATACTCTTACTACTGGCATTCCATCACCATCCTCACCCCCGACCCTCCATGACCGGTCTTTTTTCCTCTGAGGCTTCCTGTGCTGTTTATGAGATGCATTTTCACGCTTTTTCTTAGCAGGGACCTTCCCAGAACCTAATCCATTAGCCATGTCAAATGAATTCAAATCATTCAATACATGCTCTAAATTGGGCATGCTTTCTTCATCTTCACTGCTTGGAGGGTTTTCAGTATCAGATGAATCTGATTCATGCATCTCAGATGAGCTTGGTGCATCTACAACCTCCAGGCCAGCTTCATCATTTGACATTCCTGGGGGCATTTCAAAGTGAGGCAGCTTCCCATCAATGTAATCCTTCAAAATTTGGCGGGCAGCTTTAGTTTCGTCTGGCAGTCCACTTGATGCAACATAGCCTCGAGAGGCACAATATGCTCTCAAAAGTTCTGATGCCAAAGGGGGTCGAGATTTTGACTCATATGATTTGGGTTTTGGTAGAGTGATTCTATAGACATCCTCAATTACGTGCCTAGGAACTCGATTTGCCACAACCTGCACAGCCTCCCTGTGCTCAGTCATTCGATCAATCGGTAAAACCCCAGAAGCAATCATCTGATATCTTGAGCTTGTAAAGGATGGAAAGACCAATCCAGGGCAGTCACATAGTGTTAGTTCATCAGATATTATGAGTGTCTGAAAATGCTTTGTCTTTCCTGGAGTTGATGTAACACCTGTCCGCTTCTCACCAACCAAAGCATTGATTGTTGAGCTTTTCCCAACATTTGGGTACCCCACGAAACCCACCATCACACTTTTAGATGCTGTGTTTCCTGCAACATTTTCACAATGGGCACGGCTGGAATGTGTTTTCCTCCTTGTCATGGCTATCTCCTCTGCTTCGGACTGTAAACGGGCCAAAAGCTCCTCCCTGCCATATATTTTTGTATCAGCATCATCTGATTCTTGCAAGCTATTCTGGATGTCCACTGGAAATCTAAGTTGTTTTCCTTCAAGAGCAGCAGAAACGGCCTTGGCTGACCAGAATACAAAAAGAATCCCATGAAGGCGAAAATATTTTGCCCATTCGACTCTGCAATAGTGTGAAGAAATGCTTTCAAAATACCGAAAAACATAGTTTAAGGTAAGTAGCAGCAGAGACATTTATGATTGAGATACTAACCTGACAGAAAACGGTAAAAGATCTGCCTTGTTAATAAGAAGCAATGTCTTTTTGTGCTCATCAATTTCTCGTGCATATTCCTGCAGCAAAATCAATTTATGAAAAAGGCTTTTTGATTACTTATCATCATATAAGCAAGAAGCAAAATTTCATTTCATTGCACTGGCTTTTAATTCCCCAAAAGGCAAAAAGTAGCAAATTTTATCCCATGAGTCTCTTATGTCTACCAATTTGCCTTCAAAACACTCTTGAGTTCCTTTCTAGCAAATCACCCACATAAATGCACAAACTACACAGCACCAAAGAACCCGGCCTTTAAAACTAGAACCGAAACCCCTAAAGTCAATACAAAAAAATAAACATGAATCACCCATTTCATCTCCACCATACAAAATACCCTCTATCTACCAAAGGTCCAAAAGCCACCAAATAAATGCAAAAATAAAATATCACTACTTTCCTCTTCCCCTTACACATGTAATTAACAATTTGGTTTCCTTTGAATCATGTCATTAGTATTTTCTTATGAGTCAAAGTCCAAACAGATACTTTAACCTTTATGCTGTGTTTGGTTGGGGGATTTGGAGAGGGAATTTGGAAAGGGAAATGGAAAAGGTAGGTGAAATATGAATAAATCATGCCTATATTTCACATAGTTTCACACACCTTTTCCATTTCCCTTTCCAAATCCCTCCTCAAATCCCTCAACCAAACACACCATTAGTGTCACATTTGCTTTCCAAAACAACCCATAAGGGGCAAAGATTGGAACATCCAGATTATCAATGGTTTCACAAGAAAAAACACTAGAGGAATGAACAGACCACACGAATTTATCACCAATTTGATTAACCAAGAAACACACTCAAGAATGGATATTAAACAAGCAAGTGCAATAGCCTCACGATCATTAAGATTTCAGAAGAAATGAAAATTCCAATGAATTGGAGAAGAATGAGATAATACCATAGAAGCAATTGAGGCATCATGGGACCGATATAAATGATAAAAAAGTGCACGCCACAACTACATAATCGTACATCAAACAATAGCATTAACATTTTAAAGTTTCAAAGGTTTGAACTAATTTATTGTCACGTGAGATTTTCTACAATGTTATCATAGTCATATCCTCCAATTCTCTAATAAGAGATTTGCAATAATCATTTCCTGATTATATCATGTTATTTTACCTCTCCATTAAGCAACTAAAAGAAAGTTCCTTACCTCGAGATCAGGGCAACGGTAGAAAAGTGGGTCCCTTGCATCAACCACCATCACAAGCTGGAGAGATAGCAAGGTTCAGCATTTACATAACATCAACCGCATAAAGTAAAATAAAATACTAACCTTTAATTTATTGTAACTGAGAAAAGAAAAAGAAAAGGAAAAAGAGAAGAAAAATGAAAGAATGTAGGCGAGCAAAACAAACTTATGTATTATCTTTTTGGGTAAGCAAAACACAAAGCACGACTTCAACGTTGACATATGGCAACAAACATGATCAAGCGAAAGAGGTATAAATGGCTAATTAAAACTGTAAATATCTTTGAAGTATATGATTCCAGGTCAACAAAATCTGGCATCATATGTTATTTTCTACAGGAATCGGATTTTCATAAGATAAGTTACATTGCCAGTGGAGAAAAATACTTAAATGGGTTATTGCAACAAGTAAAAGACGATGCTTTGGAGAGAGCAAAAAGCAAAATGGAGGATTGAAAATGCAAGAGTACTTAAAATCCATGCCACAGATAAATAACAGCCTGAAGAAATTTATCAAATGCCATCAAACACCACCAAGGATCATCACTTGCATTAAAATGATATTAGTTAGAGGGCCTTGTAAAATAACAGTTTTGGGAATATTTGTCAAACCACATGGGAAATAGTATATATTTTTTTTTGTTCTTGGTGGGACGATGGTTCTTCTATTACAATAATTATGGTAGTATGTTGATGGTAGTGATGGATTTACTATTACAATTTACAACTAGTTGTTAAACTAGTGCGAAGTATAGGATATAATGATCAAACATATTAAAATAGTACCAATACTATCAACGTGTTTCAAAAGTAAATTGAGTTAAAGAGTATATAATAAATAATCAAAAAGAGCTCAGTACTATTCTAGCATCTTAAAAAAAATGACATTATATTCTACTATCATCTATGATCAAATAATTTACTTATTAACAATAAAAAAATATGATTAATTAAGCTTGCTTAGGAGATTTTTTTTTTTAGTTACAAGACAAAGTTGTATTAGACAATGTGACGAGGGGACACAACCATGATACAATCATAAAAAGAAAAAGAAAAGAAAGAGAGAAATGAAATAACAAAAGAAAAAAATGAGATCTCAAATACAGACGCCAAGACATCCGCACCAAAACCAAGTAAAAATATCAACCAATAAGATTAATCAAATAAAATTGCATAGTTGTCAAATCGATAATCGTTTCAAGAATCTAATCAAATTGTTTAGAAAAATATATATTCTCTTGTCATTTAAAAAATGGGCCTTGAAATTCTAAATACAGTAGAATAAGAAGAAATAGTAAGTGGAAATCCTTTATATACTCTTAGGAATGACTAACTAGTTGCCTCTGCAATTAGCGGGGGAGACTAAGAAGTTGAACCAACCAGACTTCTCAACCAATGGATATCTAAAAATGCATGGGTAATATCTTGGTTGCTTTTTTTTATTAACCTACTATTCGGTCACAATTTTTGTTACTTGATATAACCCATGAGATTTGTACTGTAACATTTCATTTATATTCTCAGTGAGATAACGATGCCCACGCCAATGAGCTACAGAACAAATTAAAACAAATTGAGATTCAATGTACAGTTTTAGAAAAGTTGAAATTCGCTGAAATTTGAAAAAGCGGACAATACAGTGATATACAAACAAAATGAAATCTGTTTTAGGTTCCCTTCCACTATAAGTTTTTCGTAAAAAGTTTAGCAATACTTCACATCTAAGTTTTGCTCATTCATCCACAGATGGCTGCGATTTAGTCAGATAACAAACTGTGCATCCAGATTGCACTTTTCCTCTAAGGGTTAGTAGTCAATATTAGTTCTATCGTTTTTTATTTCATCTCTTCAACTGCCACAGATAGGAGACATGCAGCTCCATGAAAGGACACTCTAAGCAGAAATATTACAATTTTGTAAAGACATTGACAATACCAGATCACTACGTTCAACAACCCGCCAAAGTTGTCTCCATATATCTAGGTTCTTCTCAAATGGGGTAAGAACAAGCCTCTGATTCTCCTCAAGTCTGCAAAAATAATGAAACTATATGAATATAATGTATAAGCATATTCAAAAAAAAAAAACGAGAGCAATACAGGAAATTAGATTAAGAACAAAAATCTTATGCATGAAAATAAAAGGCAACTGATTTGAAAAGCCATGTTGTTAGTGTATAATGGTAGGGAATAAAAACACACAAGTTCTTGTTTAACGTGTGGAGTCAAGACTCACAATTGGAGAGGGCACTCACTCCACGAGAACCCTGATTACATGCTTAAATTTTGTGTAATAGGAAACTGGGTAACACTCTACGTTACACTGACTTGGGTGTGGGTATCGGGTGTGGGTGCATATCTAGGGGTTAGACACTTCAAAATAAAAAATTGAGTATACATGGATATGGATCCAAATTTGGATATAGATACAGGGATACGTTAAATAGTTATTTTTTAAATATATTTATTACATGAAGATGAGTTAAAAAAAAGTTAAGAAATAATAGATTCTGTTAAAAAAAAAAAACAAATAAAAATTATATTAGGCATAAAATAAATTATATTATTTATGATATATATATAAATGATAAATTATATTATATATATGATAAATAATATTAAAAAGAAGAGAGAGAAAGAGAGAGAGAGACGCGAAGTCGATCAGTGAGAGAAGAAAATAGAAAGTCGATTGAAATCGAGAGAAGAGAGAGACGAAGTCAATCAATGAGAGAAGAAAACAAAAAGTCGATTGAAACCAAGAGAAGAGAGAGACGAAGACAATCGAGAGTGAGAGAAGAGAGAGACGGAGAGATTGATCGACAGTGAGAGCAGGAGAAGAAGACAAATCGAGAGAAGAAGATCGAAACCCTAATTGTAGGATCGAAGCCCTAATCTCCATTTTCGTAGCCCTAATGGCAGGTGTGCCATCTTTCTTCTTACTTTCGTATGCTGTGTCCACTTCTTCCATGCCGTATCCCAGCCGGATTCCATACCCATACCCGTGTCTTCGCCAAAACTGACAAGTCCGTGTAATGTAGGTAATACTGCACAATCCTTCAATTCTTCCATTGGAATCAATTCTTCCATTTTTAATTCTTCCGTTGTAACTAAAAATTACAATTCTGCCTAGATATTAACACAGGCCCAACAAGAAATTTAGAGGGACATTAGTTCTATGATTTTAGCATTTCTTTAGTGGGTAGCACCAATTGATCTAGTTAAATAGCCTGGAATTTCTTAACACAAAAACTATTCAACCTATGTAATGTTGTCCTATCAAATGATGAATTGTTTAATGACAATGTTGTCCCAGATGATGAAAGGTTAACAGACGATGGATTGAAGCAATAAAAAAACCTCCTAAAGCGCATCTTGAATGTCAACATGTTTCAATTTATTGGCATCCTTTTAAAAAGAGTAATTCATTTTGTTCTTCTATTTTGCTGGTCTTCCCAGTTTCCAAACACTACTTGTCTTGATGAATTAAAGTTGTGTATGTGTTTTCAACTTCAAAATGAAACACGTGACAGGTAGAAATAGTAGATATTTCTTTGCTGCAAATAAAAAATATAGACTAATTCCATTTTTTACATATACAAATATATCATTAGTTATTCCAGAAAAATTGAAATCCTTGCTTATGTGCCTAAATGAGACAGTGCATAATTCCAAGTCATAAACCTCACATTGCAAGGCTGCGACGCCAAACTAAAAAAGCTTGTCTTTCATTGGTATCAAGCTCTTCCACGGACATTTTCGTATTCCATGGTGGCCTGGAGAAAAGAAGAAAAGTCGTGATCAGCACACACCACAAAAGCTTGGCAAATATACTTTAGACATAAGAAAATATATACCTGCGTGGAACACGAAGACTGCTAGCATGCAATGCCTCCTCTCTCTTTTGTTGAAGTCTCTTTTCCTTAGGTGTCAAGTCACTGATGCTAGAGCTAGAGTCCCTGCTCCCATACAATCAAGGCATAGACATTAAACAATAATCCACAAACCCCTAAACCACCCATCCACACACACAGAGTACAAAATTCGATAAGGCTATAAAAGAGAAGGAGAAGAAGAATACACATAAGAAATCATGAGGTCCATGACAGACTCAAAAACCACTATGTTTGGATTGAGTGATTTGGAGAGAAAAGAAAATAAATAAAGAGATATGTATTTTTCTTACTTGTTTGGTTAACTTAAGTGAAGAGAAATAGAGAGAAACTCAGAGAAACTCACTTATCTTGTAACCCTCATTTTCAATCTTTCCAAAGTGGAGAGATTGGGACAGAAAAGAAATCAAAAGATTCTTATATTTTCATAATATCAATTTTGTCCCTGTAAAAATAAAAGAAATAAAATGATTGACAAGACATAAAAAGATTATTTTTGTAATATAACATAAAACAGTTTCTTTTCTTTTCTCTTATAAAATCTAACCAAATAAGAAGGAAAATAAGAAGGAGAGAAATCATGATCTTTTCTTTTCTTTTCTTTTCTTTTCTCTCATAACTTAAGTAATCATTTCTTTTCTTTCCTCTCCTAGGTCCCAAACATAGTGAATCCATAAGGAGGAAAAGAAGAAGGATTGTAAGGAACACAAAGCTCTGAAACAAGGTTTGCAAAAATATTAAGGTGTCTCAATTTACAATAATACACTAACAAATATAATATAATGAGGATTGAAAATGAGAAATAGGAGACTGACTAAATAGCAAGAAACAAAATAAAGATACCAGTTATTATGCTACAATTTCAAGCCATCAAATTAAATTACAAACGCACATGACTGGCAATCTCATTTCCCTCAATATCACCCGATAACACTAGACTCAGCAACTCTACTCTCAAAATGAACAGTGCATAATACGATTAAAAAAAAGGAAAAAGAAATTAACAATATGATATGAACTTGAACGCACGGATCGACAAGGAGGTTGGGGATAGGGTTGTCGACGGAGAAGAGACGAGCGGCCTCGTCGGCCTGCTCGATGACGGCGTCGATGTCGTTGACGTCGGTGATGGATTCAAGAACCTTGTTTTGCTGGTGCCTGTAGAAACGACCTTTCTCTTTCGACTGTTGGACCATCTGGTTGTGCTGCTTCACTAGTGCCCTTCCTAGGCCCGTTTTCTCATTCTTTCCCATCTCTTTCTTTCTTTCTTTCTTTCTTCTACAAACCCTAATAATGCTCTCTCTCTCTCTCTCTCTTCTGTGCTTCCTGAAGAGCTTCGATGGGGTTGATATGGTAGGGTTATATTATGGAACGGTGCAAAGAGGAGGTAGGGAAATGGAAAATGACTTGGACCGCCACGAGGGGCACCCACGACCCCCTCTCTGATTGGCCAGTAAAGGTGTTTTTTTTTTTCCTTCTCCAACTCTCATCAGCCACCAGGGGTGATGGGAGTGGCGATTGGAAAGAGTTTCAATCACTCCCGTAGAGAAATAAAATTGGGACTGTGAGGCGAATCGTTGAGTTCACCCAGCCAAGTTTGACGGGTTCTTCTGCTTTAGTAGGGCTTTCAATGGATTGGATTTAATCCCAACAGCACTCCACGTGACGTGGAGTTGATGAGTGGGGAAGAAGAAAAAAAAATAAAAAATAAAAAAATATTTTGACCAATGATAAGCAGAGGGGGTCGTGGGGTTGCTTTCAAAGAGGGTCTAAGTCTTTTTTGTTAATCCAAATTCGAATCCAACCCGGTCTGAAAATCTGAATCTATTTACCAAAAATAAAATAAAATAAAATAAATTGACCTCATAATCCGAAATAAGGCTAGGCATAGAGTCATCCGACCCTCATAACCCGCCCTACCCGATCCGACCGCACACACATATGGACGGTTTTGCAAATATAATAAGGTAGGGTACGGTTTAGAATATAAGAAGTTTTTGGGTTGTGGGTTTGAACTGCACCCGCTCACACTTAGAATATATAATTTTTTATATATATAAAAAATCTAGACCGTTCATCTATGATTTATCCTAAATATTTTTGTTTTGACCAAACATCTATGATTTATCCTAAATATTTTTGTTTTGACCAAACAAACCAAACCCTAATCCTAATATAATTTGCGCAACTCTCTTTTTCTCTTTTGTGCTTTCATTTCCCATCTCTCTTGTTGTTCCATCTCTTTCTTAGTGTGGCGACCAAAACCAGCGAAGTGAGCGACCGATCAACCTTCACAAGATCCACTCTCTCTCTCTTCGGCAATTCTCAAGTAACTCTCTCTGTCTCTCTCCTTGATCTCTGGTTTTTTTTTTAGGCAATCAAATTTGTCTCTCTTTGTGCGTAGCCTCTCTTCTCATCTCACTCTCTCTCGTTCTTCCATCTCTCTCTCTCTTTGTGGCGACTAGAAAAAGCGACCGATCAACCTTCGCAAGATTGACTCTCTCAATCTGACAACTCTGGCAACTCTCAAGTTAGTGTCTCTCTGTCTTTGTCTCTCTTCCAATCTTTGATGTTGTTTTTTAGGCTAATAGATCTGTCTCTCTCTCTCTCTCTCTCTCTCTCTCTCCACGATCTCTGAATTTTTATTTTTATTTTTTGTTATACAATCAGATCTATAGCAAGTTAGTAACAGATCTTGAGTTTAATTGTTTATTTATTTTTTAAACTAGCTAGTTTATTTCTTCATATAGTTGAATCTGTTTAGATTTTGTTTAATTGAATCTGAAATTGAATCTGTTTAGATTTTTTTTTATTTTTTTTTCCTGGAGTTTTCTATTATTGAATTTTATTTAGAATGTAATGTGCTGGGTGAAATTGGTCGTAGAATTTTTTTTTTTTTGGTTATGCAATCAGTTCTGTAGCAACAGATCTTGAGTTTATTTATTTATTTATTTTTAAACTAGCTATTTTATTTCTTAGTTGAATCTGTTATTGAATCTGTTTAGATTCTGCTATTGAATTTTAATTAAATTTTAGAAATGGAAATTGAATCTTTTATTGAATATGAATTGAATCTGAAATTGAATTTGTTTAGATTTTTTATTTTTTTTTGGGAGTTTTCTATTATTGAATTTTATTTAGAGGGTGATGCGGTGGGTGAAATTGAATCTATTAATTACTTATTCTATTATTGAATTTGAATTTTTTTTTGAATCTGAATTGAATCCAAATGAAATTGAATCTGAATTAATTACTCTGTTACTTACTCTGGATAAATTTGAATTTGAATTTTTTTTAATCTGAATTTAATTTGTAGCACAGTTTGAACGGAGGATACTATTGAATCTCCCGCAGTGAATTTTTTTACCTTTGGAATCCTCTAATTCTCAAATGAATCCTCCCTTAACCGAACCCGAACCCGAACCTAAGCCTCTTAGACCTCCAAAGAGAAAAAGAAAGGATGGATGAGGGAGAGCACCATCCACAGTTTGGGATCATTTTGATAAGGTTATAGGGACCGATGGAAAGCATAGAGTCGTATGCAAATATTGCAAGAAAGAGTATTTGGCTAACTCTAGACTTCATGCGACTAGCAATTTGAGGAGTCATACATCTAATTGTAAAGAATATCCAAATAGAGATACAGATGGTCAACAAACATTAAATCTTAAACCGAAACAAAATAAAGAAGGTGTTGAGTTTGTAGCAACAACTTTTAATTTTTGATGCATGTAAAAGGTCTCTTGCGGAGATGGTTGTCATTGATGAGTTGTCATTTAGATTTGTGGAGGGAGTTGGGTTTATAAGATTTTGTAATTTCATGCAATCCAAATTCACACAAATCCCCTCTCGTCACGTCATATCTAGAGAAGTGCTTAAATATTCAAGAATGAAAGAGATACGTTAAAGAAGGCCATGAAGGGTCGTAGAATTTACTTTGCTACGGACACTTGGACATCTATTCAGAATTTGTGTTACATGTGTTTGACTACTCATTTCATTGATGATAACTGGAAACTTCAAAAAAGAATCATAAATTTTCAACAAGTTGAAGATCACAAAGGAAAAACATTGAGTAAGAAAATTAAGTCATGTTTGATTGAGTGGAACATTGATAGCATATTCACCTTAACAGTTGATAATGCTAGTTCTAATAATCTTACCACTCAATATTTGAAAACAATAACCAAAGATTAGAAGGGGACTATTTTGCAACATGAGTTTATTTACATGCACTGTTGTGCACATATTCTTAATCTCGTTGTGAGTGATGGGTTGAAAGAAATGGACGATTCTATTGCTAACATTAGACTTGCGGTGAGATATGTGAGGTCTTCTCCTCATAGGCATGATGCTTTTAAGTGTGTGGCCACACTCAAACTTAATTCAAAAGCTCTTGTATACCTAGATATACCAACTAGGTGGAACTCTACATATTTGATGTTGGAGGCCACCGAAAAGTATGAGAAGGCTTTTAACTGCTTGAAGTTTGTGGATTCCAATTTTAAACCTTATTTCAAGAATGTTGATGGTGGCATAAGGAGAAGTCTAAATGAGTTGGATTGGAAGAAATATAGATTGTTTTTGAGGTTTCTAAAATTATTTTATCTTGCAACTAAGAAGTTTTCGGGGTCTCTCTTTGTTACTTCCAATGCTTTTTACAAAGAAATGTTTGTTATTGAAAGCAAAATTAGCCAATTAATTTTGGAGGAGGGTGATACTTCGAGCACAATGGCAAAGACTATGAAACAAAAGTTTAGCAAGTATTGGGGGGATGAAAGTAAGGTCAATTTGTTATTGTATGTTGTGGTTGTTTTTTATCCTACCAAAAAAATTGCATACTTGGGGTTTTGCTTTTCAAATTTATTTCTTGGAAATAATAAGAAGGCAGAAGGTATGATAGACAAGGTTAAGAGTTGTTTGAGTCGTTTGTATAGTCATTATGTCACACTTTATCCTTCAAATGAGAAACTTCCAAGTGTGAGTGGAGTTGCGAATATGGTAGAAGATGATGATGATAATCCCTATTCTTTAGTTGACTCCCAAATTAATTCCTATTTAGAGGGGCGATGCATTAGTGGATCTAAGTCGGAATTGGAACAATATTTGTTCGAGGTTGAACATTTTGCAAGGAATCAAACATTTGAGATTTTGGATTATTGGAAGGTGGATGCAACCAAATATAGAGTGCTATCGCAACTTGCAAGGGATGTATTGGCCGTGCCTATTTCTACCGTTGCATCGGAGTCGGCTTCAAGTACGGGGGGCGTATTCTTGACCCATTTCGTAGTTCACTCTCGCCTTCTATGGTTGAAGCTCTTGTATGTACTAAAAATTAGCTTTGAAGAAACCTTCCAATTTCTTTTTGAAAAGCGATGGATTATGTGTAGGAATTTAAGCAATATGACTCGGGAAATATAAGAATTTATTTATCTTCATTTTTAATTGTATTGTTCATTTTCTAATGTAAGTTTTACTGATCTTCTTTTGTTAACTCCTAATTAGGTACTTTGGAGTCAAGCTCATTTTCATGTTCAACCTATAATGTTGATGCTATAATTGAACTCTAATCTATTTGCTCATTGGTAAATTTTTTATATACTCACTCAACACATTTTCTTACTATATTGAGATGCAATATATAGACATTTGTTTATCTTTTCATTACTTTATTCTTTTACACTTTTTTTGTCAAAGGAATTATGAAGATTGTGATGATTGAAGATTAAAATTTATATTTTTCAGTTTGTTTTTGTGCAGGGTTCATCAACCAAATGCATGGAATTGAAATTTTTGAAAGTTAGATGTGATTCATGGAGTTTGAGATCTAGTAAATGTATTTATTTTATTTTATGGATTTGAATTGAAAGAAGTTTGACAACAGTTTTTTTTTTTTTTTTTCTTGCATTTTTGCATTTTATTTTGGAAGAATGTAAAAATTAATGAAGAATTACTTTTATTTTTTTAAATTTTCTTATTGCATTTTATTTTGGATGAATGTAAAATTTATTAAGAATTACTTTTAAGTAAGTTTAGGATTTTGAATGATTTTATTTTAATTGTATTGTTGGGTAGAAAGTATCTAGTAAATGAGATTGATGATCTAGTTAGGATTTTGAAAGATGTGTTTGTGTTAGTTTATGATTTGATTTAGGATTTTGAATGATTTGTTTGTGTTAGGAATTGATTTTGTTGTGTTTTTAATTTTACAAGTTTTAATTCATTAATTATTAATGTTGGAGCATTTTAGAATAAATTTAGAAAATGGTCCAAAATAAATGTTTACAAAATGGGGAAAAAAAAGGCTCAAAAATAATTTTTTAAAGAAAAAAATTCAATCCGCAAACCACCCGCACATTCGCGAACCCTATCTGCACAAATCGCAAATCGCACTACGGGCAGTTGCAGGTTGACTTTTTCCCAAACCGCATAGGTGTGGGCGGGTCCAAACCGACCTTGTAAACCACTCAAATCCGAACCGTGACCACCCATAATCCGAAGCCATTTAATATTGGATTTGTAAAAATCTGATCC